AACTTTTTCATTGCTGTACTAATTATTCTTGGTTTAGAGTAGACACTTATTTTTAATCTTAGTAAGAAAAGTTCTTCTGGTAGATAGTTTTCCTTGTTAATTTTTCTATTCTCTGGGCCATGAGATGGTAGAGGGGGAGAGAGCTGACGTTGGAACCCCTGGATCAGCACCATGCTGGGGAATTTGGGGGGATTTATGTTAGCTGCCCCATTTAATCCTTACAGCATGTGAAGCAAGTGTGATTAACTCTATAGAAAACTGAGCTTCAGTGTGGTTGACTAATTTGGACTGATTTAATGTAGCTATTAAGTGATAAGCCAGGATTAGTGTGAAGTCAGCATGAGAACCATCTGACCCTTAAACTGTTGTATTTTCTTCCTTTCTCCAAAATAGCTGTAATTACACAGAAATTGTTCACTCAAACAATTTCTTGAACTACCTGATCCCTTAATTTGAGTAGTTTGCTACTGTAGTACACACTGTATTTTCTTCCTTATTTATTAATCCATGTAGGTTTCTTTTTGTTACGTCAATTGTACATTTTACCCTTTAGCTTTAACTTATCTCTTTTGAGCTATAAAATGTATTAGTTCTACTACTATGCATACTATTTATTTATAATTTTAACATTATATATTATTTTCTCTGTCTCATTTTCTGTTTTATCTGCATTTTTTTCTCTTAAGTTTGCTGGGAATTTTTTAAAAAAGAACTAGCTCTTATTTATTGCTCTTACATATTGTAATTTTATTTCTACACTTATCATTATCATTTACTTTAAAATTAATTTATTTTGAATACTATACAATGTATACACAAAAAAGAATATGTAAATTTTAGAATAGTTTAAAGAATAAGGAAACGATACCTATACCCCACCATCCACCTTCAGACATGGAACGTAGCAGCGCGTTTGAAGTCCAGTGTGCTCCTCCTTGTTACATCTTCCTTCTTTTACACACGGAGAGCCACTAGCTTAAATTTTACATTAGTATCTCCTGTGCTTCTCTTTGTGGGTTTACCACATATGTCTGTAGCTCTAAGCAATATTCATTTGCCTTTGTATGCTTTAAAACTGGGTATATATGTATTATGCTATAGATACCTTTTCACATTTTTTTCAAATCCATGCTGAGTTACATAGCTCTACGTCATTTTTTTACCTGCATTTTGATACTCCTTCAGTGACTATACCTTAATTTATCCATTCTCCTGCTGATGGACATGTAAGTTGTTTCCAGACTTTTTTTTTTTTTTTTTTTTCCCTTTTTGTCTTTTTTCATGACCGGTAACAGGATTGCAACCCTCAGTGTTGCACCCGCACCGCGCTCAACCAGTGAGCGGACCAGTCTCTATATGGGATCCGAACCCTCGGCAGGAGTGCCGCCGCGCTCCCAAGCGCCGCACTCTACTAAGTGCACCACTGGGCTGGCCCATGTTTCCAGACTTTTGCTGTTATGAATAATGCTGACCTGAATTTTCTTGTACATAAGAGGGTACTTCAAAAAATTCATGGAAAGATTGTATTATCTTTTTTTTTTTTTAATATACATATTTATGGGGTACAGAGTTGACTATCAGTATTTGTGTACAGTATGTGATGATCAAATCAATATTAGCAGCATGTTCATCATTACAAATTGTAATTACTTTTTGTGTCCCATATCTAATTACTCCTATTCCCCTCCCCCTCTTTTTCCCACCTCCAGTAACTCTAGGTCTGTTCTTTCCTTCTGAAAGTTCAACATTTTATTATGGTCTTTATATCTTTCTTTGTTTCTTAGCTCCCATTTATGAGTGAGGACATGTTGTATTTCTCTTTCTGTGCCTGGCTTATTTCACTTAACATAATTTTCTCCAGGTTCATCCATATTGCTGTGAATGGCAGAATTTCATTCTTTTTTATGGCTGAGTAGTATTTCATTGTGTATATATACCAAATTTTCCTTATCCAATCTTCCATTGATGGACATTTAGCTTGGTTCCATATCTTGGCTACCATAAATAAAGCTACAGAGAACATGCGAATGCAGGTATTGCTTTGAACATGATGATTTCCATTCCTTTGGATATATACCCAGTAGTGGGATTGCTGGATCTTATGGTAGTTCTATTTGTAGTTGTTTGAGAAACCTCCATACTCTCTTTCATAATGACTGTACTAATTTTAAAGTCCCATCTTTGCCATCATTTGTTATTCTCAGTCTTTTTGATATAGCCAGTCTAGCTGGGGTGAGATGATATCTCAATGTGGTTTTGATTTGCATTTCCCTGATACTTAGTGATGCTGAGCATTTTTTTCATGTACCTGTTGGCATTTGTATGTCTTCCTTTGAAAAATGTCTATTCAGCTCCTTTGTCCATTTTTTAATTGGATTATTTGTTTATTTTACTGTGAAGTTATTTGAGTTCCTTGTATATTCTGGATATTAATCCCTTGTCAGATG